GGGCTGGGGTTGTATGTATGCAAGCACGTGTCTGAGCAGAGAGATCAGGGTGTGAAAAGTCAGCAGTCTCATGTGACTAAGTCCCTCCGGCTTCTGGGTCACTATGACTCCTGAGAACCTCATCAAAGGGGCTCAAGTGCCCGCTTTCCACAGCTGTCAGCCGCCAGGCCCTCATCAAGGTCCTGTGACTTTCCCTCAGGCTCCTGTGGCCTCTCCTACTTCGATTTCTTGTTTCCACTTAATGTACTGTAGGTTTCTCCCCCATCCACTGAAACAGTCCCTTTTCTTCAATTCTCCCCAAGGTGTTGAAGGGTTAAGTTGCCTTTACTCAGCCTCTTAGGGTAACAATGATAGTTATTTAATCATTACTTCTAGTGTTTAGGTCTTATTTCCAAATGATATATTGCTCTTCTCACTTTTCAGTTTTTTAAGATTTATTTATTTATGCTTACAGAACTGGGGTACAGGCCATAGGTGTGGGTGAGAGGATGCACCAGAAACAGAGTGGGGAGCAGAACAGGCAGATTAATGAAGTACACTGCTGAGGGGAGCAGCGGGCAGGAGAGGTCTGCCTTGCCATGTGGGTCAGCAACCTGGTCAGGGATCGAAGTCATGCTGAAGTGGCTTTGGAGAGCTTTATAATGCGGTGCTTTAACCTGTTGCGCCACCAGGGAGAGCCCACTTTTTGGTTTTTTATAAAAATAAAATATAATTCACTGATCTTAAATTTACTCTTTATACTTTTAAACATCACCTATTGGTAGAAGAGAATTGAACTTACTTATACTCCTGCCCCATCTCCCTCCCCTCATGTACCTGTTATCATATCCCACAGTACATGGCTAAATCAATAATCAATGTTTACATTCTTCTAACTGTCATTGCAGAGGCCAGTTGTACACTGTAAATTTGTTTCCTTTCTAGAGTTAATTATTATCTTGTTTTTCACTTGTCCACTCTCCTATACATTATTTGAATGCTTTAAAACCACCCTATCAGCTCATGCTGTCTTGAGATTTTCCCTAAAATTTCAGACGTGTCAGTTAAGTGCTCAGTGCCTCCCTCGCTTGGAAACCTGTCCAGTGAGGACAGACGTGGCCACTGGCTACCTCCCTGCTGCCTCTTGGAGCTCCCTTTCTTCTCTCCCGTTTCCTTGACCTGCCTCGTCCTCCCTTATTTACCCTGATTTCACCTGAGCGTGTCTTTAGAAATTTCCTATGGAAGAGTTGCTTGAGTATGTTTCCCCTTAGAATTTACAGTACACCCCTGTAGATGCTAGCTAGATTCTGAGAACCAAATTCTTCTTACTTCACATGTAATCTTTCTTCCCTCTCTGGAAGGAAATGTCTAGGATCTTTTTATTCTTACAAATCTGAAATGTCACAATGATGTTGCAGGAATATAGGTCTTTTTTATTTGATGTGTTTTACTGGACACTCTGAAATTCAGTTCTAGGAAATTCTCTTGTACGTTTCCCATTCCTGGACTTTAAGTTAATATTGGACTTTGTGGGTCAGTCATTTTCTAAGCTTCCTTTCTCCCTCTCTCCCCCTTACATTTTTTGTCTTTTTCTCTGATGTTTTGGAGATTTCCTTCTCATCATCAACCCTTTCTACTGACTTCTCTGCATTTTTGTCATCATACAGTTGTATCCTAGCAGTCCTCCTTGTTCTCTGAATGTTCTTTTTCTAGAAAACATCTTATTTTTGGTTTATGGGTCCACTCTGTTCTTCATGTCTGTATTTGGTAAATTGGAGTCCTCAGAACAGGACCTGGCATGTACTAAGCCCTCCAATAATAATTATTACACAGTAATAGTAACATTGTTGCAGTTATAATTATCATCATCATGGGATAGCATCTTTTTAAAATGTTGATTTCTCTTCTTTTTTGGAGAAATCTCAGCTTTCTCCAGCTTCCCTTTTTCTGTTTAATGGGGCTGCGGAAGAGCCTGCTCTCATGGGGGATTTTCCTCACGCACCCAGTGATCCCTGGCAGTCTGTTTGCTCATACTTAAAAGGAGTTCACTCAGAGGCCAACTGGAAAGACTTGTAGTTGGTGGGATCAGCTTTTAGATGCTCTGGCAGAGAGCTGGGCCCAGATGTTAGTTAGCATTTCCAGAGAAGACGCCTCCATTCCTTGGCTGGGCAGGAACTGCTGGCTGCCTGGATTCTGGGGCTGGGCCTAATCTCGTGTGCTGCCCAATCCCCTTTATAGCTCTTAGTTACCCTTTGCCACTGCTGGTTCTCTCAAGTCCCAAGAAAAAGCCAGGGGACTGCTTTACCCAAATCCTCAAGCCTGGCCTGTGTGCTCTCCCTTGATTTGACTGAGCCATCATTCTCCTGTCAGGGGTGGGGCAGTGGCAACTTCTGTGGGGAGGTCAGTGGTGGTGGGAGGTGGTTTCCAGCATGTGATCACAATGAGTCCTTTACCACAGCCCTCTGGCAGCAGTCCCCACTCTCTGAGGAGTTCCAGGCATGAAGTGGGGCAGGACCTGGATGTGCCCAGTGAGGCCACTGTCCGAGTCCATTCCTGAACATCCAGGCTCAGGCTCCACTGGCCACCCCTGCCCCTAAGCAGGTGCCTCCTTGCCACCCACCTCCACATCCTCTCTTCATTGAGGAGCTGCCTCACCCTTCCTCACCAGAAGAGGGTGCTCTATCAGAAGCCCTGCAATTCCCAGAACAGTAGAGGACACGTTTGCCCTAAGGAAGGCATCACAGAGAGCCCAGATTTTCCTTGAGGTTGCCTTTTATCTCGCCTAGGAGGCAGGTTAGCTTAACCCCTGACCCATTCCAGAAAAGGATCTTCTCTTGCTTTTTCAGTTCAAGAGCTTCCCTCCCCAACAAACAGCAGATGTCAGTAGCACACTCCTGACATGTCAACAAGAAAATGTTTCCAGATACTACCTGGTATTTGGTATGGGGGTGGGAAGGTGGGGGTTCCTCTCCACCTTTGTTGAGCACTTCTGTCTGAAGAAATAATTTTTGCCAGAGAGCTATCTCCCCTCCCCACTTACTCATCGAATCTTCAAATGATGTTGGGGTCCAGTTTCAGTTATTCTTTTCGTTGCCCTGATTCTAGTCACTGCAGGATGCTATCCCCATTTTGCCCCCGGGAGTCTCAGGCCCCACCAAGTTCCCGTCCACATCAGCATTTGCCCTCCATTTAGGGTTTCCTTAGCGAAGGTTTCTAGTTTATTTTACTCGGCTCTGACTTGGAACACGTTGCTGCTTCAATTGTTTTTATGGATGGAAAAATAGAGTTATTGGGATTCAAATTCAGGCCCAGCCTGCTCCATAAGCCACACTGTGCCCCCGCCTTCCTGAGCCTTAAGGAGTTTACCTCGGGCAGAAGGCCAGAGACCCGCTTCCCCCTCCACTGAGCGAGTGAAGGAGGCATAATGGTGTGTGCTCATGTGGGAATGTGCCCCTGGGGTTCAGGGACAGAGGGAGTTCTCTGGTCCAGGGAAGAGGGGAGGCCCCTGCAGGGATGGAGGTGTGTCTGGGCTGCTCTGTGGGCACCTCCCTGGGTGGGCAATGCTCTCCAGTGGCAGGCAGAGAAGTGGTTGTGTGGCTCCTGGGCTGGGATTACTAATTGGAGCAACAGGAGGTTGGGAGGTTCAACAGTGAGTGTGCTGGCAAGAGAGTAGGTGGTTTTCGGAAGCCACTTTTGGGGATCAGGGAGAAAGGGCAGATTGTTGATGGGGGACTGAGGAGGGAGGAATGTTGAGCCAGAGGAGATGGTGGTTGGGAGGGTGGGATCACTTTAGGCTTCAGAAGCAGAGGTGTCATGTAGGATGATGAAACAAGCTATAAGGAGTACCAAGAGTTTCACAGGAACCCAACTCACATGGGGGGATGCTGGTGAGAAGGCTTTAGGATTGACTGTATAATTTTGGGTTCCCATTACAAAGTGAAAATGTGTTTAAAAAAATTAAGGGTTTCAAATGGCAACAGTAGAGCATTAAACCAAGCCTGGGACCTCTTTTGCTGTGGGGCCCCAGTAACTGCACAGATCATGTATCCTCTCATGGCTTCCTGGAGAAGGGGACATTTAAGCAGAGATTGCAGGGGGGAGGAGGCAGGCAGATGAAGAGCACATTTAGGCAGAGGGAATAGCCCACATGTGCAAAGGTCTGGCAACGAAGGAAGGTCTGATGTATTTGAGGGACAGAGATACTCAGTCTAGCTGGACTGTCAAGAGGTGAGGCAGGTCGCAGAAGAGAGAGGAGAGGACCGGGTGATGGAAGGTGGATGTGGGATTTTCCAGAAGGTATTTGGACTGGAGAGGAGGGCAGTGAAGTGGGGCCTGAGAGGAGCAAGAGGTGGGGAGTTTTCACCATGAGGAAGAAAGGCTCGGAGGTAGGAGCTACCTGTCTTCCAGCTTAGAGCAACCTCTCCCAGACAGGTGCTCGGTGTGAGGCCTTAGGCTGGACTGGAGGGAGGGTGCCCAGGAAGGAATCCAGAGTCGGATGATGTGGACCAAGATGATTGACAAGTAACTGGCAAGACTCTAAGCCTCAGCTTCTGGCAGAAAGCAGGAGGAAGACTGGAGGCCCCAGGGCTCAGCTGACTTCCAGGCAGCTGACCCCTACGCCCTTCTCTTCTCATGGTTCTTTCAGTGCGCCCCCACCTTGATAGCTGGTGTGGGCCCAGGGTGGTAGCCCAGTGTGTACAAGCTGGGTTTAGCTGAGACATGAGGGCACTGTAACTCCCAGGGTGCTGGATGCTATATGTACAAACAAGGACTATATGGCCTGCAAAGCAAACTTGGGGTATCTGGAATCAGAGTGGTTGTCACACCTTTCAACCCCACTTCTCAGTTCAGACCCCAGTTGGACTTCTAGCTGGCAGAATAGTTGGGGCGTGGCCAGGATTTCCAGCCACATTGCGACACAGACTAGAAATTCCACTTTGCCTGCCAGCTGCCCGGGGGAGGCTGTCCCTGCTCCGAGCCCCGCACCGGCCTGGGTTAGGGAGGTAGGGCTGAGTAGCAGGCTAGGTGTGGGGCGGAAGAGAGCAGGGTGTTGTGAATTGGAGAGACTAGGGGGAGAGGACTTTCTGGTGGGGGATCTGTGTGCTGCCAGAGAAACCCTCCTGAAAGAGAATGTGGTCTATGGGGATGACCTTGACCCTGGCACGACGCAGAAGATGAGTGAGGTGTCCTAGTTATGCCAGCCAGAGTCTGGCAGAGGAACAGTTTCCTGCTTTTACAGAGAAGAAACCCAAGGTTCAGGGAGGCTATAAAATTTGCCAAGATCACAGAGCTGGTAACTAGCAAAGCCAAGGCCCCAGGCTGTGTCTCAAGGACTCTGAAGCCTGAGTTCTGTCCCATGGCAGTGGCCACTGCCTGTCCACAACCACTGCCCTCAGACTAAACAGCCCTGGCTGGGAGCTATCCTGGAACTTCCAGGGCTGGAAAGAGGTGGAGCAGCCTTTGCTTATCGTCAAAAACCTTTTGATTATCAGAGATAATATTACCTGAAGGTGTCTGAGAAGTAGAAAAAAAGCAATTGAAATTGCAGGGGGATTAATGAAGGAGAAAGGCAAGAAAATGGATAAAGTCATGTGATTTTACAAAAACACAGTCTAGAAACATTAGTCATCTTTCTCTCCTTTGATGTCCCCAGCATCCACCTGACACTAAGAAGTTTCATAAATAATTAACAAGGGGATGAAGGGAAAATGCTGCTGCCCCAACTGTGTGCCAGGTGAGGGTCACGCCCAGTCAGCCCCACATGGACAAGGCAGGCCAGCATTTCTGTTGTTTTTGTAGAAGCAGCAGTCAAGGCCCAGATGCACCGTGCTGTCGGCAAGCACAGAGGACTATGTCCCACCCACCCAAGCACACACCCCTTTAGCCCAGCCAGCACCGGGCCTGGCTCCTGGTGCTGAGGGCAGCTGTGAGTCACTCGAGCTCTGTCCCTGAGGTGCCCACGGTCTGGGGACAGAGATGAGCTGCCTCTGGTGTAAGGTCAGCATGACCCCAACTTCGCTCACTGAGGAGGGAGCCCTGGCTTCCTAGTGGCCTTTGTGGTACCCGAGGTCCTTGACAGATGAATGTCGGGGCCAGGGGAGGGCATTTCAAGGTGAGGGAGCAGCATGGGCAGAGATCTCGAGGGAACGTGTGGTTTTCTTGAGCCCTCTTGTGGTTTGTTGTGGGCAGGGGCACAAAGTTAGATGAGAACAGATCACAGAGCAGAAGCAGAAGTGGCAAGAGGGCTGGGCTGGGGATGTGGGTTGGGCCCGTGTGTTGTCTCTGGGGAAGCGGCACCTGGGTGATGCCACCAGAGATGGGCTGGAGAGGCACAGGTGGCAAGGTCAGTGCAGAGGTAGTGTAACCAGGATTTGGCAGGGCCAGGGCAGGGCCTGAGGACAGAAAAGACAGGACTGTGGAGGAGGGGCAGGGCGAGAGGCATCCTGGGCTCCGGGATGCGCCTTGGGCCCTGTTACTCGGTCATTATTTGAGTTCTCTGGTAGCCTTGCTGCAGCTGTTCCTGCAAAACAGATGAGAATCTGAGGCTCAGAATGGAAAAGCCCCTTACAGTGAATCAGCAGAAGAGGAGCTTTCTTTTGAATAGCAGTGGAAGGGGCAGGCCCTCCCGCTCCCCGAACCCCCTTCTTCTCTGCAGGAGGGGCAGGGACAGTGGCTGACACACAGGGCCGGCTGCCCCAGAGCCTGACTGCCAGCGCTCTCATGTCTCTTCTCTCTGGCAGGACCAAGGAGAGCATGTACCACTCACTGACATATGCCACCATCCTGGAGATGCAGGCCATGATGACCTTTGATCCCCAGGACATCCTGCTTGCTGGCAACATGATGAAGGAGGCACAGTTGCTCTGTCAGAGGTTGGAGTCGCAGAGTGGGCAGGGGCGAGGGGTGTGGGTTTTATTGCCACTCTCCCTGCCCAAAATGCCACATTGGTGCTGCTCCTTTTGGTTAAAGGACGTGCCCCTGAGTGCTCAGCCTGTCTCTTGGCTCTGAGCCAGACTCTGAGCAGCTTCCCAGGCCAGTTCTGGTTGGAGGAAACAAATCCTGATTCTGCCACTTAACAACCTCAGGCAGGTCTCTGTCTGGACTCCACGTCCCTCAGCTGTGAAATGGGTATGACAACCATGTCATGGGGCCTGAATGACCAGTCTCTGGCTTGATGTGGAGTTGCTGTTCCTCCACAGGCCCAGGTTGAATAAGTGGGCAAGCAGGGGGAGCTGATGCTCATGGGGCACACACCCAGGCCTGGCTCCAGCCCCCCAGGGAGCCATTAGCCCTCCGGCTCTCTGATGCCCACACTGCTTGGCTGGGAAGACAGGCACGGATAGTGACATCCTGCTGGCAACTGATGCAGGGAAGCTCAACGGGGTTTGTAGCCAGGGAAGAAGGAGAGGCTGCCTGGAAGAGAATTCTGAACTGAACCCTAAAGCTGCAACAGCTCATAAAGCGCTAACTGGGGCAGAGGAAGGAAAGAGGGGCTCCCAGCAAAGGCACAGGAAACCTGGGTTGTAGGGCTGGGAGGATTTCAGTGTGTTGGGAGGGACAAGAGATGTGGTCAGAGCCCCCAAGGCCCTCACCATCACTGAATGACCAAAGGCCCCCTTCTCCTCCTCAGGCACCGGAAGAAGTCCTCTGTAACAGATTCCTTCAGCAACCTGGTGCACCGCCCCACTATGGACCAGTTCACGGAAGGTGTGGCATCTGGGAGGTTCCAGGCCCAGGGGGCAGCGGGCGGGGGCAGGGATCCTCCCAGTTGTGGCCTAGGTGCTGGGGCACAGATGGGTCAGACTTGGGGCCTTTTGAGGTGTGGCTCTCCGGTGAGGTGGGAGCAGGTGAGATGTGCTTATCTGAAGGCATCACCTGCTGCATACCTGGATGAAAGAGATGTCATGTATTTTGCTCCCCAGGCCAGAGTAGGCTTGGAATTTTGTGTTTGGGGAATTTTGTGTTTGTATGTGCGAGTGCCCTAGAGGGAAGAATGGTTCTAGAGGCTGATGCACTGAACTGAGAGCTGGGAGCTGTGGTCTGGGCTGCCCGAGGCTCGGCAGCGGTGTCTTCGTGCCAGTCATAGAGTAGCGCCAGCCAACCATGAGCAATTTGCTCTTCATTGCAGGGATAAATGGCCTTACCCATCTCAGGAGCTCTTCAGGTTCCAGCGGGAAGTAATGCAGATGATGCTATCACTCCCTCCTCCATACCTCCTGGGGCTCCCTCCCAGGACCACATCTGTAATCCTCCACCAATGTCTAGGGCCCTGTGCAACAGGACCTCGGCCCCTCAGTCTCCTCTCACCTCACCCCCATTTCAACCTTCCATGGCTCAGTTTGCTATTCCTCAGCCTCTGCGCAGCTGGCTTTTCTGGGCTTTTGCTTACAAACTCTTTCTGCCTCGCTCTTGCATTTATTTCTCAACTCACATGGCCCAACTCAAATGTTCTTTCTTCTAGAAGTCATCTCTGACTTCTGACTCCGTTATGTCCCTGTGGCTTCCCTAGACCCAGGTCATCCTTATTCATCCATTCTACCCAGCTCCTTCTTGCCTGGCACCACTGGGGAGTTGACACAGCACCTGGAGTGATGTTGAACTGGGCCAAGGGCCCTGTGCTGACATTTGGGGTGCAGGGGAAGGCAAGGGAGTGGGAAACATAAGTTAATTCAGGATAGTGCTGAGTGCTGTGAAGGAATGAGACCAGTGGTGTGTGTGCAGGGGGGTGGGATAATGAGCTGCTGACTTAGGCTCCCGCTGCCTTTTGAGAAGTGGAGGTGGGAGTATTTCACCGTAGCTTCCTTGAAAGAATCCTTCCAGGAGGCTGCAGGGTTTGGTTTTCTCCATGCAGAGGAGATCCACGCGGAGGTCTGCTATGCAGAGTGCCTGCTGCAGAGAGCGGCCCTGACCTTCCTACAGGTAGGAGCCCTTGCTAGCTCCAGACTCCAGCTAGGGTCTAGTGCACAGAAGACTCAGGCCCCCCAACAGGCCAGGCTGCTGGAGAGGTGCAGGGCTCTGTGTCCTGCACACTGAGCACATGGGATCCATCCACCACCGGGTCACTTCACCTTGTGACTGCTGTTCCCTGTGAAGGGTCACGTGGGGGCCTGTTTTTATGGTTTGTTGAAAGGATCAAACTTGATTCATTCAACTCGTGGGCTCGCGGCACCTCTGAAGTGTGGGGCTTGGTGCCTGCATTACAGGCGTGCAGTCATCACCTTCCCGACATGCTCTGTGTGCTTGTCTTCACATCCATTCACGTGTTTCCGTTCAGATCTACCTCAAAGGCCTGCAATGGTGGGGGTCGGGGTGGGGGGTTACACATAGGGAATGTGGTTAGCAGAGGCAGAGCCTGGATTTGAACCAGGCCTGACTGACTTGGAGACCATGCCCCTCGTCATTCTGGTAATTATGAGAACATGACTGCATCAATTTTACCCCCAAACCTGGGTGATGATTATAACACCATCATGTAAACATGCGTATTGGGGTGGAAAGGTATCTAAGAACTTTGTTGTTGGTATTGTTTCTTCTTAGCATTGAAAAAGAAATCTTTGGAACTCAGGTGATCAAAATTAAGTTAATCCCAGCCCTTTGTCAGGATCACAGTAATAATTGCACCATGAATGACCTTCATTTTGTTTGTTCATTCTAGCATTACAAATAATCAATCAATAAAAGCTCAGGGACCCCTTACCCAAATGGAGAACAGATAATGGGTGACTCCTCACCCTCTGGGCCCTTTCCCACTCTAGCCCCTGAGTCCCTCCCAAGCTCTACTTAGAATGTTGCATATATCATCCCTCACCCTGTCTTTTAAAAATTGTTTTCTCCCTACTCATGTTTGAACAGCATATCATTATGTCTTAGTCTCAAGATTCATCAGCCCTTGATGTGGGACTTGCTTTCTGCACTCAACTTTGTATGTGTGTAATATTATTCCCTTCTGTGCCTAAGCCAGTTTGTCCATTCTCCTCTGCTAAGCATCTGAACAGTGGTGCTGTGAGCCCACGTAAATGTGATTTCCAGCTCTGGTTCTTCCACTTGCCTTGTATTATTTTGATGAAGTACCATTGATATACAGCACTGGCTATGATTTAGGGGTTCACGCTCATACCTCTCCAGACAAGTGTTACTACACCACACCCACCACCAAAACGCCAATACTCCTCCACTGTCCACTGGACTTCTCCCTCCCCACGACTTGACTCCCCTCTTGCCTCAGAGTCTCAACTCTGCAGTCAGATTTCTAGGGTTTCTTTTGCCCCTGAGTTTTGTCTGTTTCTCTGTAGCCTACATATGAGTGAAATCATCCTGTTTTTATGGTTTTCATTATTTCCATCTAATTCCACCCTTGTTGACACGGTGGCAAGATTTCATCTTTTTCTTTTATAGCTGAGCATAACACCATGTCTTCTTAACCCACTCATCTGTCATTGGGCCCATTAGGCTGTTTCCCTAACTTGGCTACTGTGAAATGCGCTGCCATGAACATAGGAGTTTGTCTCTGCCTTCAGATATGCCTTGTTGCATTCTTTGGGTAGATATGTAGCCAGTGGTGCTTCAAGTGGCAACCGTGATAAAGCCTGCTTGTTTAAAAAGCACAGCAGTCCATATATGAGCACGCCTCTGCCTTTCCCATAGCTCCTCTGTCTAGATGAACCTGTTAACCAGCCAGGCCTCTTTATCTGGTCTTTCTCCAGACACCTAGTTTCTGTACATGTGAGGTGGTAACCAGGGATGTCTCTACCCTAAGCATTTTGGAGGTCTTGCTTCATGAAAAAGACCCTCATCTCTAGTGCTAGGGGTGGGCAGGCCTGCTTTGGCTGACCTCTGACCTCATCCTCCCTCAGACAGCTGGGCCCAGGGAGGGAGACAGGCCCAGAGCCCGTATGATCCCGTGCTACCCTCCCAGGCCCGGAACCGAGCATCTCTCCCCCACAGGATGAGAACATGGTGAGCTTCATCAAGGGCGGCATCAAAGTTCGGAACAGCTACCAGACCTACAAGTGAGTGCGGGAGCCAGCAGTGCTGAGGGGCCTGGGACCCTGCCTCTCCTCCCTCAGGCTGCCTTTGGGAGGAAGTACTGGCTGGAGGCGGGAAGCCTAGAATGCCACATGATATCACACAGAGTGCTGCCTCAGTTTTCTGGAGTCATTTCCTCCTGGTTTTCTCAGTGTATCTTTCACCTGGGCTCCCCCAGAGCTTGCTCTGTGCCTGGCCCTGTGCTATGGAATAAGACATGGATTATGCATAAGCAGCTTGGTCTGGTGGGGAGCAGGGGTGGAGGGGAGTCTCAGTCATATGGAAACAGCAGCTGAAGGCTCCCATGAAGGCTGCCTTCACCTCTTCAGCACACTGGGTGGGGTCCACACCCCTGTTCCCCTAAGACGCTGGCCCTGGCATTTAGCCCTGAATCAAGCACTGGCTGTGTCTGTGGATGAAAGGATGAAAATTTGGTCCAGAGCACTTTTACCCAACAGAGCACACGATCCTTAGATACAATTCCTGAATGTCCAGTGTCTTCCCACAAAGCTTGGCATTAAAATTTATTTCTCATTGAAAGTTGGCTTCAGATTTGAGACTGTCATCTTCATTTTCTCCCATTTAATGTGACCATTTCCCTGAAGAGATAGTGTTTGATCTCTAGGTATTGCTGGGGTATATGCTGGGGCATATATAACACAACGTCTATGTTGGCACCATCCACCTTCTCTGGTGGTCTGTGAAAGGGTGGCTACTTGTCCCTCTGGTCTCATCACCAGCTCCCAGAGTGATGTTTCCAAGGCACAGATCTTGTCAGGTCACACCCAACCAACTCCCAAGGCTCCTCTTGCTCTAAAATGAAGTCTCAGGTGGTCGCTGAGTCGCTCTTGGGAGTTCTTCCTACCCTCCTAACCACATGCCCCACCCCATTCTCCCTCGTACACTTGCACTTTCTTCTTCAAACATGCCAAGCTTATTCCTACCCCAGGTCCTTTGGACATGCTGCCAAAATACATTTCTGTGCCAGGGAAGGCCTACTTTGCTGCTTAAGTTTTCACTCAAATGTTAGCTCCTCAGAGAGGCAACCCCTGAACCCCAGATTAGGGCAGGCCCTAGGGTTCTCTTTGAAATCCTGAGTGCCATCACAGTGAGAGTTGCCTCCTAGCAAGAGAAAATTAGCTTGATGGCTTTGCTCTCTGCCATCCTTGGGTGCTAGGCACAGAGAGAACTTACTCATTGTTGATTGAAAGCCCTCAGGATGCTCATGCCCTGGGAAGGAGGCAGATGCATCTTTAAAGCCTCTGTCTTGTCCCAGGTTGAGCTCTGTGCTGTTAGTAACCAGAAAAAAGAAAGTTGAATTCCAACCAAGAGACTCTGGAAACTTCGAAAGGAGGGGGTACTGAAGTTAGACCAGTGATTCTCCACTGGGGACACTTTTGCCCCTGTAAGGCATTGGACAATGTCTGGAGACATCTTGGTTATTGCAGTTGGGGTTATTACAAGTGGGGTGCTGTGTGAGGATGCTCCTGACATCTATGGGGTAGAGGCCAGGGATGCTGCTAAACATACTCTTCTCCCCTCCCCCTCTTCCACCCCTAGCTCCATGGCTCCCAACCTGAACAGAGCATTACCCAGCCTAAAATGTCAGTAGTGGCAAGGTTGAGAAACTGTTTAGACAGAAAGAGGAGCACAAGCCAATGTCTGGGTGTTGGACAAGGCAGGTGCACTAAGGCTGATGTGATTGAAATTTAGGGGCAGGAGTGTTGTGGTGGGAGGTGGTAGGAGATAATCCTTGAAGATCAGCTTTCTGGATCACTAGATGTGTTACAAATCCACCACAGGGATTTGTAAGTTCTGAGATCAGCTAGGAAAAGTGGGTGACCTTAGGCCAGGCTGGCAGGGGACTCAACCCCCAACATGTGCCTGACATGAGGCTTTATACCTCTGCAGAGAGCTGGATAGCCTCGTGCAGTCCTCACAGTACTGCAAAGGGGAGAACCACAGGCATTTCGAAGGTGGAGTGAAGCTGGGTGTTGGAGCCTTCAACCTGGTGAGTGGGAGTCCCCTGCCCATATCCTTGGTCTCTGAGCTCGAGGTTAATCTCCCTGCATGTCTCTGCACCATACCAGGTCTCTGGGGCTGTCACACCTGGCCCTGTGTGGCCCTGGGACTGGAGACCAAGCAGACATGTTGCCCGTGCTGGGGCTCACAGCCAGGGTGAGGGTGGTGAGGGTTGGGGGTGGGGCGGGACTGGCTCCATTGTCCTTTCTGTTCATTTCTTCCCACAACAAGATGGCAGCTTAAAACCCACCACGGGGGGAATATTTGTAGTACCAGAGACTGACAAATGCAAAATCAAGGCTTTTTCCTCCCTAGAGACTTGAAAGTTAAACATTGGCAGGGGTGGGGAACTCCTTGAAATGGCTGATGACCCACAGGGGTGAGGGAAGCAACTCTGGGAAGGTGTCACAGAGCAGGCAGGCAGGGAACTTTCCCAAGCATGGCTGGACATTCCAGTCAGAAGGAACAGAGTGAGCTGGGGCAGGGTGGCTCAGAAGCCACAGGCCTGAGTGCTCAGCGGCAGGGGAACTGCTCAGGGATTAGACTCCTGGCACTGGGTGGCCTGGATCTTTAGAGAACTCGCGTGTGGCAGGGAATAAATGGGGGTGCATGGGGCTCTCTCCCCTCCAGGCAAAGCCCGTTCGAGGAGTGGGCCTCGGGGTGGGGGTCTGGGCCCACTCCGGTTCCATGTTCCTCACATGCAGAAAGTGAGTGCAGTGACCTGTGTGCTAAGAAATACTAGCTTCGAGGATGAAGGACCCCCTGCTCTCAGGAACTAGCTCCACCCCTGACGAGCTGAGGGCCCTGGACACACACTGTCACTTCCCTGTGTCCCTCTCTCTAGCTGTTAAAAGGGGCAGGATCCCTTCTTTGAAGAATCTCAAGACCAAAATTTGAGATTCAGTGCCATAAGAGCAACAATAGCTACCTGCAATGTGCAGTTCTCAATTTGTGCTTTACATTTATAACTGCGTCCATCTGCACAGCATCCCTATGGAGAGGGGCTGTGATTCCCATTTTATAGACGAGGAGACCTAGAGAGGACATATGACTTGCCCACGTGACCCAGCTGGGTGTGGTGAGACTAGGACTCGGGCACAGTCTGCTCCTGTCACACTACAGGCCTCTCTGTGTGGGGAGGTGGCTTTCCAGGAAACCTCCCTATGAGCATTCTGGAGATGGGGCCTGCACCCCAGCTGCCCCCAGGACTGGGAGGCCTGGGTGCCCCTGCCCCTTCATGTGCCACCTTGCCTCTGTCCTTGCAGACGCTGTCCATGCTGCCCACGAGGATCCTGCGGCTGCTCGAGTTTGTGGGGTTTTCAGGAAATAAGGTAACCAGTTGCCTCTGGAGTCCTGGGACCATGGCATAACTGAATGCCAGCCTCTCCTAGCCCCCCCCCCCCCCCCCCCGATGAGGCCAGTGCTCTGTGGGCTTGTCTGCTCTCTCGGCCGTCAGAGAGGGCCAGTGATGCCTGCGTCTCACAGCTGAAAGGTGGCTCTGTGTGGTGGCCTGGGTGACACTGAGTGCAACAGGTGTCAGGAACCTGGTTCTTCTTCTCCCCTGGGGATACCTTGAACAAGTCCTTCTCCCCTGGGATGTTTTATGTTTTACTTGTTCGGGAGATGCCCCAGGAAGCCTGCCTGTGCACCGAGGGCAGAATCCTGAGGGCTTCAGCATCCAGAGGCTTCACTGAGGCCAGAAACCTGAGCCCTGGCAGCAGGAGAGGAGGGCTCCCTGGAGGAGGAGGCCTGTTTTAGATAAGGAGCATTAGCTGGAAGTCAGAAGTAAAGGAGCAGTTCCTTCTTCTGGGACTCTGAGCAAGGGGCTGTTTTTTAAAGCTGGGTCCAAGATTCTCAGAACTGGACTTTCTCCAATTTTTAACATGCTCAGACCTCTATTATTAATCTATTATTTTTCTCAACAATGACTCCAGCTATTGAAAGGAAACAGTGTGATAACACATAGGAAACCCATGTTACTGGCATGATAAGAACATATCATCATAAACACTACAGAGAACAGGCATTTCACAAAAGAACAGCTAGCCCATGTGGTCTGCCAGGGCTCTGAGCACTGGGCTGCTGCTCGGTGAGCCGTGGAGCATAGAGGGATATCGGAGCAGAACGAATGCTAGCACGAGGCCCGGCTTGTTCCTGACCCCTCTGGTGGGGGACAGAGAACTGAGAAGGCAGACCCTCAACTTGGTATTCTTGCTTCCTTGTATCTGTCCACAGGCCTCTAAAATCTTGGTTATCATCTGTGCTTCACAGCCTGGGCCCAGGGAAGCACTTCCTTCCAGTTTTGTTTTGTCTTAAGAAGGTCCTTGGCCCAAGAGTTGGATTTCAGGGTGATGGTGTGAAGGAAGGCACAAAGATGGTATGGGCTACATGGCCAGGCAGAGGTGAGGAGGGCAGAGTAGGAAAGACCTCCTGTACCAGCTCGGATTTCATCTTTATATGAACAGGCAGGGGGAGGCGTGGAGAGTTTGAGGCAGGGGTGGGGCAGGTCAGATTTATTGAAAAAGCCAGAATGAGCTGGAGGACAGATGGGACCAAGACTGCAGACAGTAGACAGGTAGATTCTGGCTCTTTCTCCTCTCTAACCAACCTCTGGAGCCTTCTCCAGGAAACCTTCCCAGTCTGCACCCTTAAGGCCCCATGGAGTCCCAGGGATTACCTGCCTCAGGCAATGAATGAAGGGAGGAATGGGGGTGGAACTGAAGGTGAGGGAGGGGACACCCAGACCAGTTAAGCCTTCACCCTGACCTTGACAGCATTGACCCCTTCCCCCAGGGTGGCCGCAGCACTGAGGGGCGACTCCTTGTCCCCCCCCTCGTGGCCATGCCCTCACACTGCGAGCTCGCATCCGCGCCCTCCCCTGGGTCCGGGGTCGGCCTTGGGGGGCTCAGGCTGTGCCCTCTCCCCCAGGACTACGGGCTGCTGCAGCTGGAGGAGGGTGCGTCCGGACACAGCTTCCGAGCTGTGCTGTGTGTCATGCTGCTGCTGTGCTATCACACCTTCCTCACCTTTGTGCTAGGTAGGTGGACCCTCGGCCAGCCGTGCTGGGACTTCTGGGGTGGGGCTGACTTTAAGGCCTGCTCTGTCCCCTGAGACTGGGACTGGGGCTCTAAAACCAGAAACAAGAAAGCCACTTTAACCTCACTTCCTCGCAGCATGCCTGGGCTGCAGCTTCAGTTTCCTCACCTGTGGGGGGGGGGGGTGGTATACCCACCTTGCAGGGGCTGTGGGGACACACTCCTAGTGACCTCTGTGTGCAGCCTGGAGGCGGGACTCCTGCTCATTGAGCCTGTGGACTTCAGGGGCACCGCCCACACTGTCTTACTCCTCCCATCACCCTGGAGATAGAATTTTGACCTCATTTCACAGAGTGGAAAGTGCAGGCTCTGCGAAGCCCCTGGTAGAAGGTTGCTGGGAGGCTCCAGGGGCCAACGGTGGTGACTTTTTGTTGTCCTGCCCTCCACCACCTTCAGGCACCGGGAATGTCAATATTGAGGAGGCAGAGAAGCTCTTGAAACCCTACCTGAAGAGATACCCCAAGGTGAGTCTCACCTCTTGCTGGACCTCTTGCTGGACACTCTCAGTCCACGTGTGCCCCGTGGCCCACGTGGACCCACATGTGTCTTTGCAGGGTGCCATCTTCCTGTTTTTTGCGGGGCGAATTGAAGCTATTAAAGGCAACGTTGATGCAGTGAGTAGTGGGGGGGCAGGCAGATGGATGCTAGAGGTCCTTGGGGTCTCCCTGGACAAACACAGGGACAAGGAAGACCAGGAGGAGAGCCCAGGTCTCTCCTGGGCCAAGCCGAGAGAGGGGTGGGAGAAGCACTTCTGACTGAGGCAGAGTGGGAAGACTGGGAGGAGGTGACCGTCAGTCTGATTTGACAGGAGATCAAGCTGGTGCAATTGCTGAGGTGGGAGGTGCTAGTGTCAGGCACAGAAGTGGTTGGTTAGACCCGTCTGTTTAGACTGGCACCTGGCAAGTGGGGGAGGCTGGTGCCTTGGTCTGGCTGGGGAGTTTGGAGGGCCCAGGTGGGTGGGACCCATGATTGGGAGGACCAGAGCCTGAACAAGGCCAGGACAGACTGGACATCTTGGAGGCGGGGTCTCCGGCTGGCTCTGGCTGTGGTTCATCTGGCAGAGGATACCCCATGTCCAGCCACTTCCTGCGAGCTCCTGGGATCTTTGGAGCTTGCTCTGAGATACCCGCATCATTTGACCACTTTAATATTAACACTTTCCACTGCCTGTCCTGCCTCCATAATAGCTCTGTTGTGTCCTTTCATTTTGTGACTTAAGCACTGGAGTCCTTCAGAAAAGAGCAATGACTAGGGCCAAAGTCTTGGAAGATGTAGGGGAAAGAACCAGGACCAGGAGCCAGCTTGTCTGGCTCTCCTGACCCCAAGGTTGTCTCAGGGCGGGAGCACATGCACTGGAGGAGGCTGGGCCTGCTGTGGGGTGGGAGTGTGGAGAGAGGGGGCGAGGGGACACCCTCCCAGCTGACCCCCCAGTGCCCACAGGCCATCCGGCGGTTCGAGGAGTGCTGTGAGGCCCAGCAGCACTGGAAGCAGTTCCATCACATGTGCTACTGGGAGCTGATGTGGTGCTTCACCTACAAGGGCCAGTGGAAGATGGCTTACTTCTACGCTGACCTGCTCAGCAAGGAGAACTCCTGGTCCAAGGTGGGCTCACGCTGTGTGAGGGGGTCCTTGGGTACTCAAGCTAACCCAGACTACCCACAAGTCAGGGTTCGAACCCCTCACTAAACGCAGAGGTCTCTGCTGGAATGCAGACAACTATGAATTCTAATAGTTCTCTGGGTTGGAAGGAACTAATGGCCAGGAGGAGCAGAAAAACTTGAGAATTAAAACTAATTTATAGTGTATGAGTCAACCAGGGACAGAGCCTGACTTGTGCCATCTAGGTGCCTAGAGAACAGCATTAGCTGGACATGTGCTGTTTCTGCACCATCCAATATGGTGGCCACCGGCCGTACGTGGACATTAGTACGTGAAATGTGCCTAGCCCCACAGGGAAATGGGATGCTTTAAATTTATTTAATTTTAGTCAGCTCAAATTTAGATTTTAAGAGTCATGTGGGGACACTTAAGAGCTGAGAGAACCCCCAGGGCAAAGGCACTGGAGGCAAGGTGCTGCAGGGCGTTTGGAGTCACAGGTGAAGGGCTTGTGAGTTGGGGCACAGGAGGACTTGGAGGGCCCCTTCCTGCCACAACTCACTCATTGCCATCTTTTTGAGGACACAGACTGTGATGTGGCACGGAGCCTGGTAAAGTAAGCCAGCAAAATCAGCATGCGCCCCGAGTGCAGACGGAGAATCATGGGGAGACAGGCCTGCCACGGGGGTTGGGGGTGGGTGAATGGTGGTTGCTTTTCAGTAGTGTGCCCCCCCAACACGACAACTGGGATGTCCAAGGGGCTACGACTTGGAGTTTAAGGAGTGACGGGGTTGGGGGGGAGGCAGAAGAGGAGCCAGAAATGCATGTCATGGAGGGGCCTGGGTAGCTGCTTGAGTCTGACGGGGTGGGGGTGGGGGAGACACTTGGTGTTTGTGGCTTAGATCTGTGCTTCAGAAATCCCTCTGCAGCTACTGGCATGCACAGGTCAGGTCCTGTTCTAGGCCAGAGCATACAGCAGGGAACAAAACAAAGAACCCACCTCAAGGTCCATGTTCTGGTGGGAAGAAAGGCAAACACAGAAACACGTTGAGGTGCAGCATAAATGTAGGAAAGAAAAAGCAAGGGTGGTAAGGCTGCAGGCAATGATGGGTGGCTTGTGTCTGTATGTGGTGGTGGAGGGAGGCCTGTCTGAGAAGAGACCAGGGGGAAGTGAAGGAGCTGGCCACGTGGATATTCAAGTGAAGGACAGTCTGCAGAGAGCACTGTGGATGGGAGGGCAGAGTGGGGAGTTGGAGCTGAGTGACTTTGATGTGCTCTGGAAAACAGCCTGGAGGCCAGTGGGAAGCAGAGGGGGCAAGGGGGAGTTAGAGAGGACACTGGGAGACTGGAGAGGCCTGAGGGGGTTTTGGATTCTATCTTAAGTGTGATGGGCAATCATGAAAAGATTTGGAGACTGGATGAACAGGCTCTGACTTTAAAAGACCAGAGTGAGAGGGTATGGGAAATGGCTTGCAGGGGGCAGCTGGGAGATCCTTTAGGAGACCCCATGGACTAGGACAGTAGAAAGACATCATGGGAGGCTGGAATGGGAGTCAGGGTGGAGGCTGCTGCAGTAATGGAGGTTAGGCAGAGGGCAAGGCCAGAGGCATTCGAGAGCTAGACAGGAGTAAAATCGGGAGGACTCAGCGGTGACTCAGTGTCAGGGTGGGGGAGAGAGCGAAGGCAAGCTGTGACACCCAGAAGTTAATGGATGGATGAGGATCGGGCTTCAGTGAGGGGAGATTCTACCCACCACACCTGTCAAGAGCAGGATTTCCTCCTTTGTAACAGCAGACTGAGGTGTGGAGAGCAGAGTGGACCTGGGAGTAGCCCTGGCCTTGGCAAGGGTGGAGTTGCCAGGTGGAGGTGGCTTTCCGCCCTCTTCAGAGACTCCATTCCAGGATGTCCTGCTCCCGTTCCTCCTCCACCCCCTTAATTTCTTTGTGGCTTATTGATGGGTGGTTCAGCAGGCGCTGTAGTTCAAGTCCTGGCCACTGGAGGGAAGCACAGAGCCAGGCTGCTCCTGGCTTTCTGGGAAAGGGGCTTGGCTTCAGGTGTGCATTTCTAGGTTGGAAGAGGGGTTCTCAGCATAGCTGCACCTTCCCCGCCAGGGACAGCTGTAGGTTCGGGGGACAAGGCCCTGGTGTGAAGCCACCTGACCTGGGGGTGAGTCCCAGCTCTGTCCCTAGCAGCTCTACAGTCCCAGGAAGCGGAGGTGGGGCATGGATTCCTTTCTGGCACCCTCTGGGATAGATTGAGCAGATGTATGTCAAGTGTAGGGCACGCAGTGAGGTGCTGTTCACTGGCTGGCCTCACCTTCTTTTCTCATTCCTTGCCTATGCTGCCTATTCGTGTCCGACTAGATCACATCTCTGCCCTTCCCTGGCTTTGCCAAGCTGTTACCTTGCCTGGCAAGTCCTGTCTAGGTTTCTGTGACTCTTCTTAATGGCTTTCAAGGGCTCATGATGAAGTCATCGCTTCCCAGAAGTCCTTGCCCTTTTGTCTCCACCCAGGCCCAGCACACCCTCCCCATCCTCTGGGTGCTTGTCTCCCTCCTTCACAGCGGAGTGGTATTCTGAGCAGAGTTCATGTTCCACACATACACGTCTTTCCACAGAGTCAATCTATTTGCTGCTTATCAAACACACACACAGGTGATGGCAAGTTACTGGCCAGGCTGCCCTTCCAGGTGTGTGGGTTATTCCCACACAGCAGGCAATCTGTAATTACAAACTTAAACATTTCTCTAAGTCTAACATTCCCCAACACTGTCACATGCAGTCAACTATTAACAAACCAAAGTCCAGGCAGACAAGGCGCCAGGCCGGGCAGAGGTGTTTCTGGGCTCCAGCCTGGGCAGGTGAGAACGGTGTAGCTGCGTGGCTGCTGCCCGGATGAGTAGTGCACCTCAACCAAAACGGTTTTATGTAGTGATGCATCTGCAATTTGCTTGATATCTAGTTGCCATTGTTAAACTGGTGTTTTTTAGAGCCTCTTTTTTTGTCCAGGATCAATGTGTCTGGTGGTTCAGATAAGGCTTCAGGAAAGTCTTCCTAGTTCTCCTGGAGTGTTATTTTATCACTGTATCCATCAGGCCATTTGGCAGTTATCTTTCTTACTTGCCCCAAAGAGGGCTTGTGCCTTGACATTAGTGACTCCATTCATATGTTGGACTGAAGTTATTTCATAACTGATTAAGTAGTATGAGCCCATTTGAATAATAAAATGCTCTAGGAGTGCGGCCTCTTTGACATGGTCCCTCCCACGTTAACTCAGCTACTTCTCGGTGTCCTCCCTGGGGCTTGGGTTGTATGAACTGCTGTGTGCTCAGCCATCACAGGCCTGAAAGAGATATCTGTGCCAGCTGGGCTGGGACATGGTGCAGGGCGGGGATGGGGGGTTATTGCTCACCTGACTGCCAGTCTATCTCACACAGGCTACCTACATCTACATGAAGGCCGCCTACCTCAGCATGTTTGGGAAGGAGGACTATAAGCCATTCGGGGATGACGAAGTGGAGTTGTTTAGGTGGGTCCCACCATTGCATGTGCCACATCAAGTCTCAGCTGGCTCTGCTTGCAGCCACCCTGAGCTGTGGGTACAGGGAGGAAGGCGGTGGGCTTTGTCATCTGGTGGTTCTGTGGCCCACCCCTGGCTGGCCCATGGGCCCTCCTTCCCTTCCACCACCTTTTCTGTGAGGGACCTCACAACTAAGTCCAGCTGTTTCCTGGGCTAGATGGCTTAGGCCTGAAGGTCAAAACCACATCCGGTGACTGTGGCAGAAAATAGAGGGGGGGTGCGGGGGTGGGGGTGGGGATGAAGCTGTGTGGTGAGGTCCCAGATGCGGAGGCTCACCTAGCTGCATGCTGCATTTTACTCTGCCCTAGGAGACAGCTTGAGGAGGCCACAGCACGTGTGGCAAGGGCTACTTAGAAGATTGAGTTATGAAGTCCAGGAAAGGCCCTGCCTTTCCCTTGGGTGTTAGTTACCTCTGTGAAACTAGTCAAACTGTTGTTGAGCCCTCTAAAGTAGGGCCTGGGAATGGAGTCGAGAAACTAGAAGGCAGAGCAACCCTGCCAGCTCATGTGGAGGATCCTTGCCTAGTCACAGGAAGTGGTCAGATCACGGGGCAGAAAGTGGTCAGGTCTTGGAGCAGTGCTTGTGAAATAAGGTCACAAGCTGAGAGTCCAAAACTTACATAAATAGAGAAACTGAGGGCCCAGAGAGAGCTCAAGCAGAAGCTGGGCAGGTTGGGGTCTCTCAGCCCTCTATGGCATTTTCTCACCTTCTCCCTGCTCTTTCACAGAGCTGTGCCAGGTCTGAAGCTCAAGATCGCTGGGAAATCTCTACCCACCGAGAAGTTTGCCATCCGGAAGTCCAGACGCTACCTCTGTCCCAATCCTATCTCGTTGCCAATCCCTGCGCTGGTGGGTAGGAAGGTCTTACATCCCTGCAGCTCAGTATGGAATTGTGGGAATTAGCTGAAAGCCAGAGACCCCAGGGAAGTGGATGAGTGATAGGACATTCAGGGTCCTGGGGATTTTCACAATTCACCTTGGGCTCAGGGGGTAGAGTGCAGATCGGTCTTGTCAATCCCAGCCTCTAAGAATGTGCTGGTCCATGGGAGTGGGACGGTGAGGCAGGTGCTATCTCATGGCAGAGGAGGGGTCTTCGTAGACACCTCCACACCATAGTGTCTCAACTCTCAGGTAGAGGAATCACTTAGTTGTTTGTGTTCTCACCGTGTTTTCAGTCTTATCATGAACCCTGTATTAGAGCAACTTTTTCTGAGACCTGGGACCATGTAACTGTCACCTCTGACAGGATAGCAACAGCAGACATTATTACTGGGCACTTGCTATGTTCAAGACTTCTCATTCCTACTTCCTGTCCTACTTGGCCCCCACAACAGCCCTCTGAGCAGGTGCTAGTGGTGTCCTTGTTTTACAGATGAGGACAATAAAGCCTCATATATTAGAAGAAAAAGTAGAAAGATATTTATAAGTAGATAAGACATAAGTTGAAAGATCAAACAAGTAGTCCAGATCTCACATAAGTCAGTCAGAATCTAAAACCAAAAAGTTCAGATTTCGAGTCCATGTTCTGAATGTCAGAGAAAGTTTCAGTTTGCTAAGAACTCTGTTGTTATTCAGATAGTAAGCCAGTCAGAAAATTAGAAAGGGCACTGCTTCAGAGACCACATCTTTGGGTCATTAATTGTTGAACCTTGGCTTGGGTTCCCTTCTTTTCATGTAAAATGGAAATAGTTATATCTACCTTGCCTATTTCAGTTATGAGAATTAGCTGATAAAATGTGAGTATTTTGAAATATACAGCAAAGCTATTGCCAGATGTGGGGAAGGGTGTCATAAGGAAGGGCAGGGGAAGCCACTATACCAAACATGTAGAAGAGAATTTATAATCTGCAAAATACAACTTATGCATAGAATAATTTCCATGATTGAATATATTTGACTAAACAAAGTTTATATACTAGAACTTCTTGAAGCTTCACTATGTTAATGTGCATGGGAAGTCTCCAAGAAGTTTGAAGATGCAATTTTTCCCTAATTTATTTGGCACAGAACCCTTTTGTTGATGGCACATTTGCTAACTTGGGACAATATACTGATTAAGCTTAAATTCTCTCCCTAGAACATAGTAAACAGAACCATAACAATATCTTTCTAGAACTTTATACATACAATTCACTTTCACATCATCTTTTGGTTTGATAGTTTAGGAAATGCTAGCCTACTAGAAGTACTATGGATGAAATTTAATTTTGTGTTTTAAGCCTAGAAGTCAAGGCAACAGGATCAGGATGTCTGATATTTTTCATGATGGGGACATAGTCTTAAAGGTATTGGAAATTCTTAAGTGCTTAGTATGGGAAGAGGTTGGATAGAGAGGTGGTAAAAGTCTGACATCTGTGGAAATAGTGAGCAGAAACAGCTGAAAACTGTTGGCAGCTTTAAGTGCTACAGTGAGGGTGTGGGTCCATTCTAAATTCTCACTGGGCAAAGAATTGCCAGGCAAGATTAGAGATAGAAGTGCCTTAAGGAATCCTCTGATCTGCGCTGCCCATTTTACAGACGGGGAAACTGAGGCCCCACTGGAGAGGCAATCTAGGACTGATTTGCTCCCCTGCCCTCAGGAAATGATGTACATTTGGAATGGCTATGCTGTGATTGGGAAGCAGCCGGAACTCACAGATGGGATACTTGAGATTATCACCGAAGCTGGAGAGATGCTGGAAAATGGTCCAGGTGACTAAACCCCAGGCCCATTTGAACCACGCTGGGTCAGACCACCAATCTTACAGTGGAAGGTTCCTTAATCAAAACTGTCCATCCTTATTTCTCTACCATGATAACTGTCCTTTGCTTTTCTAGACTGAGTGAGGTTCAATGGCTGTTCCCCCCAAGAAGCTGTCCCTTGTCCCTCAGGTGGGGCCAAGGCCTCTTCGGGGCTCCCACAATACCTGGGCTTCCTTCAATCAGTCCTGACCTCATTTTACTGTCGTCTGACCTCATTTTACTGTCGTCTGACCTCATTTTACTGTCGTCTCAGAATCTGCCCTTCCTTCTCATATGTGCGCTCCCTGAGGATAAGGGACCATGTGTGAGTGGTCTCTTGTGTCCTCAGGACCCAGAGATAGACCCAGCAGAGTATGGGCTCTGTGAGTCACTTGCAGAAGTAAACAAGCATGTCTTCTTCCTTTACTTCCTTATCCTTAGAGAATGAGTACTCAGTGGATGATGAGTGTTTGGTGAAGTTACTCAAAGGCCTGTGTCTGAAATACCTGGGCCGTGTCCAGGAAGCTGAGGAGAATTTTAAGAGTATCTCTGCCAAGTAAGTGCCTCTTTGGCTGCTCCCACTGCAGGTGGCCTGCTGCTGGGCCAGGCTCTCCTGAGTAGAATTTTCAGGTGGCTCCATCCTCTCACACTCCTGACCCCAACTGACCCCCTTTTACTACACATGTGCTAACTTCTGCTCTGTGCCAGCATAGATAATTCAGACCTCACCGCCCCCAGGGCCACCAAATCACCCAACTGCAAGCCCATCCACACCAGTTTCCTGTGAATGGCACCCAGACATTGTATTGATAGTTCAGCGGAAGGCAGCAGGGAGGGTGGGTCAGAGACAGACAAAAGACAGACGAGATTCCATTTAAATGCACAGTTCCACCTGGAAAGTCGGGAGGTGGATGTTTGGGAGCTGAGGTGGAGGATGCTACAGCCACGACATGAGCCGCAGCTTGTCAGGGCACTGGGGCTCCAGGAGCAGAGGACTAGGTGCTATGGATCTGAAGCCTTTCCAGGGCTGCATGGTAGGAATCTTCCCAAATTGAGTTCAGATCAGGAAGACCCCACAGGAAGGGCTGGGAAGACTCAGGAGGAGCCTGAAGAACATCTCAAGGGCAGGGCCTGCTAGCCATGTCCTTTATTCTGCAGTGAAAAGAAGATTAAATATGACCACTACTTGATCCCAAATGCTCTGCTGGAACTGGCCCTACTGTTTATGGAGCAAGGCAGAAACGAAGAGGCTGTCAAACTCTTGGAAACTGCCAAGTAAGGCTTGGGTAGCCTCCTCCTGTCCTTTCCTCCCCTTGGAATTTAGGAGCTTCATGCAGCTGCTTCATGCAGAGGAGCCCAGGTAGCAGTGAGGGAGGGTGCTGGCAAGGGCAGTGTGGCAGTCCGGAGGCTGTCCCATGTCCCTGCTAGCCTGAGTTGCCCAGGGTTATATATACCACAAGCCAGCTGCGGGGCTGATGCGAAGACCCAGCTCTCTGCCTTTAGCCCAGGAATCTACCTCTTGAAACCACTCCTTCAAGCTTGAGGCTCCACCAGGGCCAAGAGTAGTCCTGGAGGGTATGAGACCAGGGATTGGCCATTATACCCCCTTTCTGGGCAGGGCCCAACTGTTTGTTTGAACTCAGACAGGAATTCAAACTTTTAAAAACTTTCCTTGGCTGGTGGGCTTCCACAGCTTAGGCTGATGAGGAAGAACAGCCACATGTCTGATTCTCTGGTGTCTTTCAGGCAGAATTACAAGAATTACTCCATGGAGTCAAGGACACATTTTCGAATCCAGGCCGCCATACTCCAAGCTAAGTCTTCCCTAGAGAACAGCAGCAGATCCATGGTTTCATCAGTATCCTTGTAGCTTTGTGCAGCACTCCCAGGCTGGAAGACAGACAGCTGGACAGAGCTCCTGGAAACATTTCAAAAAGATCCCCTCCCCCTGCCCTGCCTTTGGGGTCACCGGTGCTCCCGTGGGATGGCACAACATAGGTATCCATGTAGAAGTGCAGCCAACATTTTCAGTGTGGCCAAGGGCCTTTGCCAAGGACTGAGCAGGTAGAGCCCTCTGCCTGCCTGACCACACATACGGGTACTTATTTTTCACTGTGATGTTTAAAAGAATGTATGAACAGTTTACATTTTCCTTAGAAATACATTGATGGGATCATAGTTGGCTTAAGGAAAAAAAAAACAAAAAACCACCAACTAAGCACCTGTGAATCTTTGTTTTAACCCATACTGATCTGGAGAAAATTCTCTAATGCCAAGGCCAAATTACTTTTCAAACATCAAGACCTCAGCTTCTGGAAGGACCTTCTTGTCAGAGAACTTGAGGAATATCCAGAAAGGTCTGTACCTTACACTTAGAAGCTTCTTGGGGTTGGGCACAAAGGATGCACACAGATACCCGTTACTTTTTATACTTTGTTTCCACTCCCTTTGTAACTTCACAATATATATATATATATATATATATATATATATATATATATATATATAAAATCTTTTTAGTGAGGTAATTTTCATTTGAGCCCATCTATCGAAAAATCAATCTCTACCAATAAGGAGTGGGGACTCCAAGGTCTGCTGGATGGGGAGTGGTATGGCCCTTTTTTTTACCAAAGCCAAGATTTGTGGGGGAGGTTCTCTGAAACCTACTTACATCCTTTGCTGTATGCCAAACCAACCACTGGGAATAACTTATGAACTGTAAAAAATCTGTACTTCATTCTGAGGTACATTTATTTACTGAGAACATTTTTCTTAGAAATAGAATGGTTATTCTTGGGCTGTTGTATATGTTTTAGATTTTTCAGTTAAAAGATTGAAATAAAACTTACACACTTAAGAGATCATGTAACATCTATTCAGTAAACCATGTTGCTTAATTTTTGGGGCAGGCTAGAAAGTCTTGTTCAGAAGCCATATGGTCCATTTATGTTTTTAGATATGATTAAAGTTTTTTAGAGTGATTCACTAATATTTAAAAATGGGGCAACTTTACAAATCTGACTTCTGGCCTCTTATTTAAAAACAAACAAAAAACAACAGGACTCATTTCTACAGGGCAACAATTGCAACTGGGTAGTGAAACACATTACCTTCTGACTCCTATAAAAATACCTGAATTGATAACCTTTGGAATGGATAAGTTTGAGAACCCTCAAGTTCAGTGACTGACAGCAAGTTTTAGCTTTCAGTCTAATGACTGTATACTTCAATTTAACCATCTCCCTGGAGAGAGTCATGTGCAAGGAAAACTGCTTCACTTGAAAACGGGTCCTCAAGTATACAAATACAATTTCTACAAGAGAGAGCAGATGCCTTTTCCAATGTCCTAGCACTGCTGTATTTAGCAAACATTTCTGAGTATATGCCAGGAATTGGGTGGGTCAACACCTTTCTGTGACTTAAATCATGGGTTTTGGGTAGACTCTTTAGAAAAGAAAAAGTGGGGGGGACACTATCAGGCAGAAATGCTATGAAAAAAACGTCAGTTTGAACTGGATGAAGAGAAGGCTCTCCACAGAAAGCCCTCTGTAAGCTTTCTCTTGTCTTGAGTGCTGGGAGACCAACTTTCTAGGCTTTGGGGCAGGCAGGGTGAGATGGCTGAACCAGGTTGCTGAATGAGGATGGCTTCATACACAATGCTACCTACGGTGGCACTAAAGCGCACTGGTCACAGGAGTCCAAACATACGTAATTTACACAAAACTGTATTAACATTCACTTTAGGTACTTTTGCTTTTTGTTTTTTTTTTTTTTAGATTTTATGCCAGAATTATTTTCTTGTGAATGTTTGTCGTCGTTGATTTCATGCTGGGCTTCGCTAATTAGCCTGCATCACCTCTGCCCCTGCTGTCCTAGCTGTAGTCTGGCTGACAGGAGAATTTGGGTGTTTTTTTTTTTTCTTTCCCTTTATCTGACCTGTAGTTTAAGATAGTCTATCAAAAACGTGTATGTGAAAGATGGTGAAAATGCTGGGGGTCTCTGCTGACCCCAAATCCATATTCAGAGGCCTTTGAAGGTGAAAATTTTCCTAAGCCATTTCTACCTTGGAGAGGCAGTTGATCAGGTGAGAGTTTGGAAAAAAGACCGGACCCTAGTCTCTGCTTTGCTACTACATTTCAGTGAGACCTTGGGGGAAGTGGGGACCCTCAAAAGATGAGCAACTTAGGATAGGTTAAGGCTCTTTCTTGCTTTCAGTGGTTGTGACTCTCAACTCTGGTCAAGTCTATTTCTAGGTTTTTCATCTTTAAATGAGGCAATTTATACCTCCTTTACCTTTTGCCAAAGTCTGTCTCCCCCTGTAGTATCTCAACCAGGATCGACAGACTTCTTCAATCAGTGGCCTCTACAGCAGCCCGGCGCCCCAGAGAGCAAATAATCCCTGTTTGGGGAAAGCAGAAATCCTGTGCCAGAGGTGTACTCGGTTATTGGGAAACAGTAACTGTAACAGGTGCTTGGCAACAAAAACCTGCCTCTCACTGGTCACAGGCCCTTGAGCTGGCAGGGAGGCTCCCAGCCCTGTGCTAGTCCTATCAGCTCTCCCAGGGTTTGGCAGGATTCCCTAGTCCTTATCTCTCAAGTCAGAATGGGAGTGCTTCCAAGACAGCTATCGTCATTCACAGCAAAAAGCCATGACCTGACAGCAAAACCAGGACCCCAAGAGGCCAGTGCCAACCCAAGATCTGGCTGATGTCCAGGTGGGAGATTCCCAGTAACTAAAGAATGGCACTAAAAGGTTTTCAAAAAGCTTTAGCCTGCTGAATGCTAGAGTCATTCAACAAGTAGGGAATAAAACCCAAAAACACTTTACTCTGGAGTTACCCCCGAGTTTGTTTGTTCTAAGATGATGGCAAATGGACGACAGTTTTTTCCTTGTTTGCTTCAAACTGAAAGTTGAACAGTGTGCCTTTCAACTACTGTTTCCTTATGTCCTTAGCACCATCGGACTAATTCAGTAATAAATGAGGTGCCTGGATTCTAAAAACCATGCAGCAAATGCGAACTTCTCACCCTCGTCCTCAGATGCAACTTTCCATGGTTGGAAAATAAATGCCTTTCTGCTTGGGCTAGCACAGCAACTTTGAAATCCAGTGCAAAGTCCATTACTTCCCAACGGGGTAAGTCTATATAAACAGGAGCCTCTTTTGGTGGCTTGAGAAATTCATTTCTAAATGAGCAGTCTATGAATTGCTTCAAAGTGACAAAAATGTTAATAGTGCCCTTCCTTTGGGAAGACATGATACAGACTTCTAAAAGTTGACATTCAAATTTAATCAGACAAAGCTAACACCTGGATTGGGTTATTTTGTCTTTTCTACATATTAATAACACTTTAGGAAACCAAGCACCATACAGTCTGGGTGGAGCAACTAATAGTAAGTGTTCACTACTTAACAATTGCTATCACAGGTACTTTATATATCTTTAACCCTGATAATCATTCTATGAGCCATTCCTCATTTTACGGATGAGAAAAACTGATTACACACACACACACACACACACAATAACCCCAAAACCTCACTCCAAATCAGTTATAAATGCAGTAGAGAGATTGAAAACTAGGTAGCTGAATTCTAAAACTCGTGCTTTGCTAGCTAAACTGGTCAAGCCAATGTTTATTTAAAGTTGGGTCTAGTTTACATTGACTCTTGGGACACTGCCAGGGTTACTGGAAAACTACCCATCCACAAAAAGATACTGGCTAGTAAGTCAAAACACCAGAAAGACATGGCTGGGGAAAGAGGTAGTACATGCCTGTGTGGCATGGTTGCCCCTGGCTACTTGGCATCATGAGGGGAGGGAGCCTAGTTTGGACAAAGCCAAATGAAAGAAAAGCAACCCTGAAGCACAGTATTTACTCATAAATTCATAAATCATGGAGAGTACTGGAGTAAAAGGAATAACCTACTCCCCAGTTGGAAAGGTAGAGTTCCAGTCAGCTACTCCAGAGACAGAAGTAATTACTAAAGTCTGAACAGATGCAGAGGCTTAGGCCTGGACTGAAGCTTAATGGGTAGCAAACCATATGCTAGAGAAGTTTGGTGTAAAACAATAAGAGGCAGGAATATTGGCAAAATGAGGAATATATGATGTTTAAGGCAAAGAATTTTAAGCTTAAGCGAGTGCTGGCTTGCCAAGCACATCACATGTGTGGGTCAAAGTGATCTATGGGCCAAAAATCTGTGACGTGTGGAAAGTGGTTATAAAGGAAGCCTGTACTATTAAGAATACCAGCCTCAAGTTCTGTTAATTACATGGGGTAATGGATAAAAGGACAATGATTCAAATTTAGTTGGAATTTACTGTTTTGAGAATCATCTTACTCTTCTATAAATGAGGCTAATGCTTCTCTTTCATAGGACTATGCATAAAAAGAAATCATGAAACAAACAGCCTAGCACAACCCCTAGTATGTTAAGAAGGCAAATTTATTGGTCCTCATACACTTCAGGGGTAAGGGGATCAGTGAGAGGTCTGGCCTAAGGAATGTCTGAATCAAGGGTTATAGTGGCTCTACTAACACTTCTCTCTTGCCTTTGCTTCTGGATCTGATTTATTCTCTTGACCTGGCTTCTCTGCATGGCAGTTCAGGCCATATCCTTACAGCTTATGACCAGGAGAAAAAGGTTTCTTTAATCAGTATGAAAAATCCCAGATAAGTCTGGCTTGGTTTGATCATCATTCACTTAGTACGTTCCAACAGATCATAGTATCATGAGGAAATGTAATGAAAATGCAAATTTTCCACCCCACCCTAGAGTGAGCCTCAGCAATATGAGTTTTAACAAGTTGTGCAGGTATGTATCTGATGCATACTAAAGTTTGAAAACTGCCAGGGAGGTATTTATAGTTGGTCTATCTTGGGTCATATGCTTAGTTTATTATAAAAGGGCAGGGTGCTCGACTGACAAAAAAAAGTATCCCCTGTATGTCCTGTTTTTCAAAAGTTGATAGACATGAACTATGACCTGCCACATTCTCAGAAAAAGGCAAGGATGAAGGCAGTGTAGTTTGTTACATTAGTTAAGAGATTTATCAGAAAGCTACCAACTCAGGAAGAGCTTTGCTTTTCCTTCTCCTTGCCACCCTTAAAAACTTTGATTATAAGATCTGTTTTCCAAATGGAACTTGCTTGATGATCGCCTCTCTGTTAGAAGTGTTCAGATCCCTTAGAGCCTTCCCCTCCCTGCCCATTTTCACCATCCCTCACTTAGTATCTGTAGAACGCCTGCCTTGCACTCCTGGAGGTTATTCTAATAAGGAAGACACAGCAGTAACAAAGAATTAAGAGCCATGGAGTAAACAAATCCATGTGTTTGGCCAGAGGACAAGAAACTGGCCATCTGAACAATCTGGGGAAGTGAACTACGTAATAGAAGCCACAGTTCATAAAGACCTGAGATAGGAAAGAGGGCACAAAAAATAAAGCCCACAGGCTAGAAGGTAGAGTACTATGGAATAAGAGAGGCACAGAAATCAATTATTTCCATCAAGGAGTTAGATTTTTTTCCTCAATAACAATGCAAAGCTATTAAAGTTCTAATGGGGAAAATGACATCACTCAATTTAAAATTATTTTAGCTGCTGTGTGAAGAATGTATTAGATAGGTTTAAACACGGGAGTTAAGGAGCTGGTACCATACCCAAGACCTCCAGCACCAACGCTGTTTCTGCTCCAAATTTCAGGTAAAAATATCACACCTTCCTGTTACCAGCTACTAGACATGAGAAATAAGACCTTCCATATGCTAAGAGATAACCAGTCTCTGAGTGTCAATATGAGTTTGCCATTTCCTGTTCTTTGCTCTTCATAAGATTTTAGAAACCCAGTTTATCAAAACCTATACACATTAGCATGGTTTCTTATATCAAAGATATGTTCAACATTGCTCAATCCTGAGACTAGAACTTGCAACAGTGAACTAACTAATCTGAAAATGACCTATTAGAATAGCACCTGAGTTACTGCCAGAATGTTTATGAATTAAGTCTTCATGACAATGCTTCACTATAGAGGGTGCTCAACAGTTGCAAGGGCCATGAAGAAAATGATCATGAAAAACTACCCCTCTCCCCTGTGCATACCCTTAAAATTGTAGCTATTAATTTATGATCTGTCTGCTGAGTTCCACTACTCATTATTCTGCAGTTTCAAAGCTGTAGGATTGGCTCCAATTCTGGAATTAGCAGAATGCAGCCTATTCCCACAACTCTAGTATGGGTAGTGCTGGAAGCCAACATTAAGGTCTCGCTTGATAACATAGCCCAGGGTCCTAAATCATACAATGCCCAAGTCTTGCTTTTGGATTCTATACACTTAAGATTATATACTGTGTGACCTTCAGAAAAAGCTAGACTCATCACTGTGCAAAGCCAAGAAAATCTTTTTAAGACCTCTCCACTATGCCCAGATTCCTGAGGCAAAGCCTCAGTTACCTTTTTTCAGTTTCTTTTTCTCAGTGCCAGACATCTGGAGCCTACAAAGCACAGAAGTTACAGAAGTTCAAAGCTAACAGTTGTTTCTCCTTTGATCAGTGAGTCTTAAGATGCCTAAAATCTGTACCTTACTGATAATGCTGTCACCCAAAGAGAAAAACTTTCTGTGGAAACCATCCAAAGCGGTGGGCAGTAACTTTTCTAAAGAAATAAAAATGTAAAGGAAAGCTAGTGTCTCTCCTGGCTTTCTTAAATTTGGTATAAGGGCAAATAGACATAGCCTGTCAGTAAGTGAATCAGATGGATCCAGTATTGTCCTGAGCCTATATGCACAGTGACAAACAAGAACATGAACAATTAAAATGTACAGATAAATCCAAACCTCATTAAAAATTTCACTGATACTGCTAACATTTTATAGATCATTTTATGGATCAGGAAATGGGCTGTAAAGGGACTCATCTGGATTTTCTGTTTCTATGCTAAAGAGCAAGGAAACAGCCAAAGGACAAATGGAGAAGTAATGTCTGGATAATTATACCTGGACAACCAACATCCGATACTGTTTATTTTTAACTAATTCTATATGGTTTAGAAAAGGAATGGTTGCAATTAAGTGAGCTAATCCTGTTTTTGTAGAATGTTTTTACATCCAGAGGCTCTTCTGAGAATTACAAAGTATAATCAATACTTGAAGATGCCATTTGTTCACTTCTATGTGTCATTTTAACAAACTTTAACTCTTAAACACTAAGTTCAGTGTTTTTCTTTAAACACTATGTTCAGAACTAACAAACGATCCAGTTAACCATCCCTACATCCATAAAATCTACTTAATGTACCTCTCAAGCCACTGGAAAAAGTACTATTTTAAGATGCTGATATAATGCAAACATTTAATTACTTTATCAAGCTCTGTTTCCCTCAAATTACCACAAAAATTACTACATCCCTGTCCAAATCTGAACTGTCAGCAAGTATATTCTATGCCCATTAATTCACTGTCTGACCATAGGCAAATAAAGACTTGACAATCAGAACTGAGAAAAATTTTTTTCAAAGGCCATTTTTGATAGCTCTCAGAAAACTCACCTAACAGCTGATCAAGTCATAATTATGTTTAATGCAACAATGGCAGTTTTGTAGATGGACATTTTTATTGTATTTTTTAAAAATTAATAAACATATAGGTTTTGTGTACATCGTCCTAAGGGGAGAAATATATTAGAAAAGATGAATGGGAGGCTACTTTTTAACAGGCAGTCTATCCTATCAAACTGATTCTTTCTGAAGGGAGGAAATGAGGCTTAAATAGCTTTTATGACATATGGGGCATGAAGTTGATGGAAACATGAGACCTTAATAACAAAATACTTAGAAACTGGGACAGGGGGGAAGAAATTACAAGGGAATGAGCTAAGCCCCAACGGATTAATATGTTCAGTCAGGGGAAGCTTGCTCAGGACTCTGATGGCTCTCATGCCCATGATTCCCACACCAGAGACATCCCACACCAGGCCTGTATCTTAGGGAAGTCTGTAAGTTTAAGATTGTAGCAGGGAAGCTGCATCTAGAAGGGACAGAGGAGTAAGTCATAAACTATCTTCTCTTGACTTTTTTTCCATTAGAAGAAGAGTAGAAATTTATCACTACGTCAGGAGATACTACCAAAAATCCAACTTTCTTATTCATTTTAAGTATAAAGAACTCTCATAAAACTGGAAGGGCTTGTGTGAACCCTAACTATAAGTATCTGAAAGTATTTAAATGTGTTGGGTATGTTTTAAAGTAATAAAATTCTTTAGTTTTTTTCTTGGTCAGGCTTTTCAGACATTTTAATTTATACAGCCAAGACCTCACTTATCTTGTTCAAATTTAACCATGTTGCAATTATAATTTGGCTTTAGAAATTCTGAAGCCATTAAGCTGCTTTCTAAGTTTATGGTAGAGGGTACTAAATGCCAGGCCTTAAAAAAATATTCCCAAGAAAGAATATACTCAGAGATTTTAATGTAATTAATTAAATTTATACTTGTCTGCTTTAAAGAAAGGACCAGATAAGTTTAGAACTGCTTTATAACTTCATCTAACTTAGTTGAAACTAAAATTGATGGCTTTTATCATGGCATTTGGAGATCAAAATGAAAAGAAAAATTAGCATTTAGCTCAATACAAAGTTCTGTGAAAGAATTCATGTAAGAAATAAAGAATAACCGCAACATAAAAGATAATTTAAAAACAAGAAGTTCACTTACCATTTTTAGCAATCTTGAAAAAAAAACCCATAATACTTGATGTCACAGACATCATGTTAAAATAGAAAATACAAGTAAAAAGTAGTATCACTGAAAATACTGCACAACTTCAGTGTTTTCTCCAAATTTGCTTTATGTAATTGGGTGGATATAAATTAAAGAACAAAAACTTAAGCAAGATACATATAACAATTTAACAGAACCTGATAATCTAATTTCTTTCAATTTTTCTCAAATTCAGTTTTTAATCTTTCCATCATGGGGCTCATAAGAGAATTAACCAACATGAATACTACAGTCAAATGTCAAATCTTTAAGAAATACTAAATTCCCCTATAAAGCAATTATGAAGAACCTTCAAGATATTTGTATTTTGTATGTAGAAAAGTGTTAGAGTCAAATATTCAACTCAATAAAAAATAAGAAACATCTCTGATTTGTTAGTTTGAGACGGCTTCTCCTTTTGCTAGTGAATGAATTTTTTTAGCTGTAATATCATTGAGTTGAACAAATAAGTCAACTTTGAGTATATAAGGGAAAAAACACATGCTAAATGGATAAAACATTACTACTACATCTTTACTAGACCATCTCTACCTCTATTCAGAAGCTTAGAGATTCAGTGTTCTTATAATTGCAAAAAAGAGAGAAATTCCTTCTTTTTGAGATCACGACTATAAAGTCATGTTGTTATACAAATCCCTCATCTGTGTGCAAAACATGAAATTCACTTATCTTATTTGCTCTGCTTAGACTTGTCAGTCAGTTAGCAGGACTTTCCTTTTTTAAGAAACAGACTGAGATGTATTTTATATAACTTCAATAACCTCAGCACTACAATGATGAGAGATGCAGTATCCTTTTGCTATGGTTCAAGACAACAGGGAAGGAGGTCACAGGAAAGAAGTCAAAATTGTTACAACTGAGAAACATTTCTCAGTTTCACCATTGTGCCACTCTCATTTTTACATAAGCACGGTGGCGTAATTCAAGCTCAGTAAATCAAAATCTTAATATTTAAAATTTACCTTGACTTTTAATTATCACCATATTAACAACCAAAATAATTAGATAAAACATATAGGAAAGGGTAATTTTTAACCCCACTTTTACTAGAGTTGGTTTCTTGACACATTAACTCATTTTAAAAGAAAAGGGATAGTGCATCTCAGTTTGCTTACAAGCTAGGAGATCACTTTGAATTCTGCATTTCCTAACTGCAAACAGATATAGCACTTATAACAGGTTATAAATAAACTGGTTTTCAAGCATAGAGCCAGCCCCAACGATAATAATACACTATTTAAAAAGACCTAAGGCAATGAATTCCATTTCCAATGGAAAAAAAGAACTGTGCAAACAAGCTTAAAACTACTTTTTTGTGCCAGTGTTATAAAATGTAGCTTTTAATAAAACCTTGACCCAAATGCCAGCAACTTCAGAAAAGAATTTGGGGGGAGGGAGAAGGGGAGAGAGTTATTTAGGAAAAACAACCACTATCTTTTTCCTAATCTTCAACACACACAATTTAAACATATACAGCTGCTGTAATACTTTACACAATTCCTATGTACTGGAGCAATAACAAGATCTAAATACAATTATATTTTTAAACAATGGGTCAAGGCTTTACATAAAAATACCATCCTACTCTTCCCCCTATGTTTCTAAAATATCTCGAACTTTCCCCCAACATCTGCAGCCATTCAGGAATTTTAGGAAACTTTTGTGCATGATCTTAATCCTAATCCCTGGCTCTTTGGGCTCAGTGACAAAAGATCAAAACCACCAAAATTGACGGTTCACTTGAAGTCAGACGAGAGACCCTGGCTCAATTAGTCTCATAGGATGAAAGCAGTGCTGCATCAACTGGCTCCATGCAGGAGGGGCACGTGAAGGATCTCATCAACCAGTCATCTATACAGTCCAGGTGATAGATGTGCATGCACGGCAGAAATCGAATTGGGTCCCCATAAACAAAGTCCATCATACAGATCACACACCTGTTGGGGTGGAGAGAAATCAGACATTTTTAGAGTAATCATCTACCTAGGGTACAGTTTAAAATTCCATTATATAGAATGTTAACCTATAGAAGATGATGGCTTGCCTGTCATCCTGCCACCAAAGCATGCAAACTATGTTTTCCCTAATTTACTCCACCCACAATCTCTTATTTCTACCCTCTGCAGAGTTTGAGAGCAATCAACAGAACAAAGAGAAATAGACCATGTGGGGATCAAGGTCTACTGCTAGAACTGTGCTTCTAAAAGTTATAGGAGAGACCTAAAGGAGAAAAGGATGCTTTTGGCAGGACACCATTAGTTAGATCAACTGTTTACTTAAAGTGCATTTTTAGTGTAAGCCCAGGAGTAATAACTAAATGTAAACAGAACCACCAATTTCAGCCTACTTATAGCTGTATAACACACCAAGGTACTCCTATACCACAATTTAACTATACCTCTAGTCTTGTTTTTCACTAATTAAGACTATGATGAATATATCTGTACAGAAAGCTTTAGGAATAGAAGAGAGGTACACATTTTAGGACAATCTTTAGTACTAACTTTCTCAAAGGGTACAGAAAGAAGGTCCTTGAGATACTGCCAAACTTTCCCAAAAACCATCAACAATGTTGAAAAAGCTACTAGCAGTGTTGGTAGTAGTTCACACAGGTGAGTCACTTTTACCTGATGTCATCTGGTGTGTAAATATACACAGGCAACACATAAAAACAGTTTGAATTCACATAATTTCTTAGCTAATTTTATATGAAAACTTTCTTAATCTAAAAATACTCTTGCATAAAATTAAATATTTACCTTTCAAAGTGCAAAATATTTTCAAAGGCTAATCAATGAAGATAAGACCTTTGAAACATGTATGAATTTATTAAAACTTACTCTCGGATCTTTTTTTCTGATCCATCTCTTCCAGGGTCATAAACTCCTTTAGGCAGATGCTGTATAAGACCTATTCTTTGAGCTATCCTAATTTGTTCCTCTTCAGTCAGCTGAGTTGCCAGGCGAGTTTGGCTAGGTGTTGGATGATAGACAGGAACTGGAACTTGTTCCTAAAGTTTAAAAAATCAGAGAAAAACATTATTTACAAACTTGCTTTCTAGGATGATATTTTTCTTTTTTTTTTTTCTTGTGGTTGGTTTGGTTGAGTAGGGAGTCTTGGATTGGGTTAGTGTGCAGATTGGGTTAGTGTGCAGCTGAATGAGACTGTTTCATCTTGCCTTAACATAGCATACCAACTTACTTTTAAAGGACATAAATACAAGTCTAACTGAAAAACTAAGAATGTTATTTGAAGTATTTCTACATGAAGACCATATAACCCTGATGTAGTTACTCTTGATGAGTAAATAATTAATAAACAACAAATAAACCCAATTCAATAAACTAAATATACTGTTTTGTGGCCTCAATAAACCTATATTTACATCAGAACAGTCACTACAGACTCTTCTTATTCCCAAACTTACTTCATCAAAAAAATCTGAACACTAATATATTTGGAAATACTGGATAGTGTTGCAATTAACTTTTGTATACATATTTGGATATAAGTTGAGTAAACCAAATAAGGATACCATCCCTCCCAAATGGAATATATAAATTCTGAGGTGTAGTTAAATAACCACGTGTCTACTTAATAACATTAATTTACTTCCATTTCTATTGTATAAAACACATTAGTTTACACATGCTATATTTTTCTACTCACATTTATGAAATAATTTTATTTATACTCTTTCAACAGATACTTATTGAGAATTATGTGCCAGAAGGAGAGGTGAAAGTAAACAAAATCAAGTTCTTACAGTGATGGGGGTGGGGGGACTGCTATTTTATACAGGAAGCTCAGGGGAAACTTCTCTGATGAGACTTGAGAAATCAGTGAAGTATGTGGAAGATAGTGCTTCTTTGTCCTAGTGAATTCATCATGGCTAGATCTAATTTTGAGTCACCTAAAAGTAATTTTCCAAGGAAAATCTCTACTGCATAACTGAGTGAGACATGACACTTTAAATCAATATATGGGAATTTTATGTTAAGTGACAGCTACTTAATCACGTAAGTTAAAAAAATATTTCTATTCATCCTGTAGGATCACTTGTGACCTCTATACTTCAAGTATGCTGATAGTGACAGCTGATATTTGCAACTATGAGATTATACTTGTACGAATAATTCTGGGATCTGTGTTAAGCTTTAAAAAACAAAGAGACTATCAAAAGACCTCCACAATCATCCAGTACTAGCATTAACTGGGGCAGTTTTAGAATAATGGCTTTTATGGTTCAAAAAAGACAGCACACACAGTGAAACATTAGGAGGGTTCAAGTATAAATATCTTTTCAGGGTTAAGTCTCAGATACACATAAGTTAGGCTCAAATACTAAACCACTTAATTCAAAGAGAAAGAAACTTTACCACAATGTCTGTTAAAAATATCGTATGTCCCTTTAAATAAGTCTTACTCTTCCCTTTCCTGACAGAAGTTAGTTTCTTATCAAAGGCAGTTTATATAAGACTTTAACATTCTCTTTCTTCTCCCCTGAGATTCAGAACATATGTATAATTAGGGATCTCACAGCCCAGTAAATCTTTTATCAAATAATTAAGAATACATTCTCTGGTAAAAGTAAAATGCCAGTAGTTCAAAGTTTCGTATTTTAAGAATGTCCACATAAAACATCAATGGTTATTTAAAATTATTTGCAATACTTTTATCTCGCCACTTAAAAATGAATAGCCAAGCATGCAAGTGCTTATCAAAGTTCATTCTTCACTAAATATTTATTTAATACATATTACATGCAAAGATGATAGCATATTAAGTATGACTCTTGGATCCAGATAACCGTGGGCTTGTTACTTCTCTGCCATTTAACAGTGAACATGCTTAAGTTATTTAATCTATCTAGCATCAGTTTTTTTCATGGAAAATGAAGGGTAAAATTAAGTTTCCTGGGGTTACAATAAAAGCTTAACCAAGGAAGGTGGAGGGTGAACCTAATAATAGCAGAAACTCAATAAAAGGTAGTTATTATAGCTATTAACATTGCAAAGAAGGGGCTATCTCTATCAATATAAACAAAATAACTGTTGCCTGTAAGTTGATGCTTTCCTATCTCACTGCCTTTGCTCTTGGAATTCCTTTCCCTGCAGCCCCACCAGTGCAAATTCTACCATATCCAGCAGGCTGTTGACATCAATGAGGGATTTCCCATTTCTCCTCCCTGCCACCCAACACTGACAGATTCTCTCCAGCACAGTCATCAACTGATAACAGGCTCAATTATGGCTTTCACATTGGAATTAAAGAACCAAACTTCAAATATCCAGCTTCAAGCCTTTCTTTCAGGCCTGTAATATCTAGAACAATATGACCACAGGCAATATTTTGCTTCACAAAGCCACTTAACGGATATTTCCTCTTTAAAGAGCTTTATCTACATACAAAAATTTCCAATTTGTAACTCAAACTCAGAAAATCTTTTATATGGGACATGAATGTTAAAGCCCTATATAATGCACAAGAAAAATAACTTTGTTGACCAGCACAGCTAAGTTACATGATCCTTTTAGTTATTACTGGTCATAAATGTGGCTGTGCAATTCTGGTTTAGATATTCAACTCTTCAAGGTTGTATACCTAGTAGGCAAACTTTCAATGCAGAGAAGTTCCACAGTGCAGTCATCCTGGTGCTGCCACATATTAGCTATATGATGTTGACCATTATTTAACCTCTATAGTCTCAGTTTCTCCATGTGTAAAATACTTGGAACACTGTAAGAATTAAGCAAGAATTTTAAGTGTTACCCTCGGTACAGTATAACATAAAAGCTCATTAAATAAATGTTAGTAACTGTTATTGCAGTTCTTTGACACAGAGTAACATTCCAATGTTTACTTTAAGAAATGGATTTACAATCATTTCAATTATAACTCAAAAATTAAAATTTAACTGAAATGAAGAAAGACATGGACTCTAGCAGAGTTAAGATTAAGTCTATGATAAAAGATCTCATGATTTCAACAACTTTTAGCAATTAAAAATTTCAAAGAACATCAAATCCATCTTTAAATTACCCCTGTAAAATAGATTCTACTGATAGAAAAACAAACTTCAACAAAGTCTATTCTTTTCTCTGTGTTTTATTTGGAACTCCTGTGGGCTACTTTTGGTAGTTCTTACTGTCAAGTTGGGAGGTCAAATTCTGATGCCACGTAAGCTCAGAAAGTTGTTTTAAAGCATTAGAAGTCAGTTTCTCCTTCGCTCGCTTTGGGGATTTCTATTCTCTAGTGTCACTTTTTATTAAGTCACCTGGTCTAAAAAGATGACGTAGGCTATTAATCCAGTAAGTTTTTAACACAACAAAACTATTTTATTCAAAGGACTCTTAGTTATAATCATAGTATCTAAAACTGAGCTACCATGGTGCAATTATAGGGTTGGGATAGAATTTGATCTAGGAGGGATGAGGATCCCACTCCCACCTGGGGCACCTTTGTAGGAATCACTGAAAGTTTTAAGAATGCTATTAGCTAAGCAATATATATGGCATTTTCAGTCTAAAAAATTAAATTATACAATTTGAGGCTCTGCTACCCACTATGGTGACTTAAGCCAAATTTATTATTTTGAATAAGTAACACCACTTATAGGATGATGATACAATTATACACACACACACACACACACACATTAGAGCTTGGTGAATGTCAATATTTATAAGTCATTCCAACCCTCTATTTTTTCCCCATCATCATTGGTTTTAAGCCAATTGCTATTGTCCCTGGCTTTCTGGCTTGTCCCTGAAACCAACTGGTCTGTATTGAGACTCCTGTCAGATTTGAGTTTTTCAACCTTTAGATAACCATTTCCAGAATATACAACCTTCCCGACCGTCAGCCCCCGTCCTATCTGACCAGTCCTGACACATCCACAACTAGATCTAATAACCTATGAGGTCAATGACAGATAATAAAGAACTCCAAAATTCTTGTATGTGCCTACTATAAAATAAAAAGAACTAAATTATTTCACAATCTCTAAGCATGTGCTTTTTTTAAGAGGCTAGATTTCTTACCTTATGGCTCACAAACATGTACAGAGATCACAGAAAGCAGAACAGAAAAGCTCAAAAAGCTCAACTTTATGAAAATACATTAAACATGTTTTAATGTCTAACACTAGTAGACATTAAAATAAAAACCCTTTTAATTACATACATACAAACATACATACACACACACATACACACAGGCTTTGTTTTCCTCTTTGTAAACCAAAGGAACCCTTCTGCACACCATCTAAGTATTTAAAACTCAGCATTCTAATTTCAGCTTACAGACAACTTTTCAGAAAGCCATAGAAGAAAAGGGCTAAGAAATCTTGGTATTTTAAAGATGGATGTGGCTGCAATCTTCTTACCACATACACTTAATTTTAATTCTCATCATCTTGTTTAAAATATCCTAACCGATGAATTACTGTTTAGTTACTAGAGACCCAGTGGCATTTTTTAGGTAACAAAATGGAATTTTGTTTCTAATGTCAGCTGCAAGACACTGAATTGAAGACAAAATGAATGGTATAAAAAATTGTATGGGCTCTCTCTGGTGGTGCAGCGGGTTAAACCGCAGCACTAAGAAACTAAAGCCACTTCCACATGAGTTTGATCACCACCTGCCCTGGAGGTGACCCACATGACACTGCAGACCTCTCCTGACCCACCCACTGCTCCCTTCAGCAATGTACTTTGTCGATCTGCCTGTTCTGCTCCCTACTTTGTCTCTGGTGAATCCTCTCACTGTCCCTACACCTCTGGCCTGTACCCTAGTTCTTTTTGCATAAATAAGTTAAGTCTTTAAAAAAATTTTTGCATGCCCAGAAAACAGACGTAAGGTCAGGTGGTACTTTATCTGACTCCTTCATTTGAGGTAACTACAAAATATACTTTTTTTTTTAAGATTTATTTATTTATTCATACAGAACTGGGGTACAGGCCAGACATGCGGAGGGTGAGAGGATTCACCAGGGACAGAATGGGGAGC